CGGAGCCATCCCAGAATATTCTCTTTAGAGCAGTACACGTACCACCCTACAGTAAGCGTAAGCAACTACTTGAAGCTAGGAGACAGACCAGAAAGGGGGCCAGATCAGAAAAAGCAGCCACCACTTGAGTCCCTCCACTAAAGACTAACTGCTGCAGTCAGCATCAGGATTAGCTGGGGGAAAGGGAAGAGAGGTTGGTTGAGAAGTCACTAGAGAATTACCTTACCTTGCCAGTTCAGGAATTTAGTTTTTTAGTATTTTCAACAAAACTGGAAATTTGGGAGGCCACAATCTGACCTACCTTGGCCCTCGCTGCCAAAGTCTGCTCTGGAGAAACCTGGGGGAGGGCCCCGGTGCTCTTCAAGCTGGAACCCGGTACACCCTCCTCCCCAGCTCTTCCCATGTTCTTTACTGGTCCCTCATCCTTTTTCCAAACTTGACTTCAAGCTTTCCTCAAAACTCAGTCAGCCTGGACCACTTTTCATCTTGGCTCAGGCAACTCATCCAGTTATTAAACTGATGACTTTCAAAACTCAACCTTCAGTCTTACCTTGATGGCTGGATGCTGGGGAATGATACATTATCCTTGCCTTAGGGCCTCAAAATTCCTCATCAGACCATTTAAGATAAACCCAAATAACTATAATGCAGGTTATACATGCCACATGGTATGAGTGATATAAACAAATTGTAGGAATCCCTTTCCATTTTCACTGTCAAAGATGGCTTCACAGGTGGCACTGAAGCAAGATATTGTAGGAAAAGACAGAGAAGATAAAATAAAATAGAACAGACTATTGAGGTTGGAAGTACTCTTAGAGATCACCTAGCCCCCATACCTTTTACATGTATCAATTCTAAGGTGCCGACAGATTAAAGTGCACTCTGTGGGGAGGTTTCTTTGGACATGGCGAAGCACACTGCATTTTCAGAAATGCAAGGGTCAGGGGGAAGGGTGTTAACATCTAGAGGACAGGAAAGATGTCAATCATGTTCTGGGGGGGTGGTAGATGGAAAATATGTGCCTTGCTTTCTCACTTTCCTGTAACAAGCCGTGTAAGGCTTTTATAATAAAGAAGAACAAACTCATGCGGAAACCTCATTACCCAGCAGAGTCTATCACCAGTGGATGGCAGCCCAACAGCACCCCTCTTTCACCTGTAAGGTACTCCATGCCGTTACGTTAAACCCCTGAAGTCTAGGCAGTACATGATGATTTCACGTTTCTTCAAGGGGAACGTTCTGGCACCGGTGGCCTCCAGCAGGGATGGGAAAGCAAAGCTGCCATGTAAACAATGACTATCCTCCAACCCAGATGACCAATCCCAGTTCCCAAACTCTTGTCCCCACAGCACATCCCGTACAATGCAGCTTCTAAGCTCCTAGTATTACACATCCTCAGTATCCTCCACATCAGCAGGGCAGTAGATTCTATTTCTGGGCACGACTGAAAGCCGTCTACATCTTCCTTTACCAGTATGTCTTATGGGAAAACAGATTTTTGACACACACATTCTTACCTTCAAAAATGTCAAGGAGGGCCTCCCTGGTGGCACGGTGGTTGTGAATCCACCTGCCAACACAGGGGACGCGGGTTCAAGCCCTGGTCCAGGAGGATCCCACATGCCGCAGAGCAACTAAGCCCGTGCACCACAGCTGCTGACCCTGCGCTCTGCAGCCTGCGAGCCGCAACTACTGAAGCCCGCACGCCTAGAGCCTGTGCTCTGCAACGGGAGGCCACCGCAAAGAGAAGCCCGTACACCGCAATGAGGAGTGGCCCCCGCTCGCCGCAGCTGGAGAGGGCCCAGGCCCAGCAACGAGGACCCAACTCAGCCAAAAATAAATAAATAAAATTAATTATTTAAAAAAAAATGTCAAGGAGCCTTTACCATGAATCAGTGGTTCCTAGGCTGCAACCCCTTAACTAATATTGAAGTGCTTGAGCAATATTCAATACACCAAACATAAATCAGCAATGAGCTGTTCAGACTTACAACAGCACAGATTCAGTAGCAACTCACCATGGTAAGGCTGTTTATACCATACTGACCAGATGCTCTAAATAGCAGTAAACGCAAAGGCATGTATGTGGTAGTGCGGTGGTGACCGGGTGCTGGGGTGTAAAGGTATGTGTGTTTCAGGAGAAAGGAGAATGCCTCAAAACTAAGGAAACACTGCAAAACCCCCTGTACGTGTTCCACCATAGATGCAAGCCCTCTGCACCACATTCAATAGTTCAATGTTCTTTCCATCCAGGGCACAACTCCTGCCACTCTCACCAAGCTCCTCCGTGTTCCACCCCAAACCTGGCTAACAAAGTGAACAATACACATACCATCAGTTCGTAAAGTCACAGGGAAGCACTAGGAGCCCAGAAGTGCCTAAGAGCTGGGGTTTGTTCAGCTCTGCCACTGTGGGCAGCGGCAGTATTCTAAACAAGTCACTTAGCCCTGGTGGAACCCACTCACCTTCTGTAAAATGAGTGGTTTTCAAATTATAATCAAAGAAACTTCTCAGAGACTTCAGGGAAGAGGTAGGGATGAGATCTGTAAGAGACTGAGAGGGCAGGGCTCCAAGGCCCCCTATCTCTGCCCAAATGTTTTACATATTAGCCTCACTTAAAATGGCATCTAAACAAAGACTTCTAAAACAAAGCTGGAGCTTCTGAAAACCAGGTAATTCAATCTCACCTCCAGATTTAACAACCCCAGGACCAAGCTAACATGTATACTAACACTGACAGAGTACCTTCTAAGTATTAAGCATTTTAAATATCTTATTTAACCCTTCACATCAGTTCTAGGAGACGAGCATTAGTTTCATGTTTACAGGTGGGGAAACTAAAGCTTGGACAAATAAAATGACTTATCCACAGTCACAAAGGGAGGAAATGGAAGTGTGAGAATTTGAAGCCAACTATTTATGTCTCCAAAGCCTTTGTTCTTCCTTCCACACTGCATGTCTTTCCCACCATACTAACTCCACCTCTTGAACTGCTCAAAGTTCCCCCACATCATTTCATGAAATAAAACCAAAGAGTCAAAAGTGCTTCCTACCAGAAACAGTTGGTACCCACTGTCTCCCATTCACAGACCTAGAGACCAATGGGGAAAAAGTGATGACGTGGGACACGTGACACAGAGCTTCCCTCCAGGATTGCCATTTCCCATTAACCACGTTCACTTCTTTAATCACATCTCTCAGGTTTTCTAGACCTTGCAAGGGCGCCTCTCTTCTCCCTCTTTTATCTTCTCCAGAAGTCTACATTTCCATGCGGACTAAATCAAAGGCTTGGTACTTTAAATCAAGTTCTGGCCAATGGCAGGTGATATGAAAGTATACTTCTCAGTCTTCTCTCATTTTTCCTCCAAATAGTCCTGTAACAAATGGTCTCATGTATGTACCCACCCCCTTTATTTCCTCTACTCCACTTACATGCAGCTCCCAACCCTGGATCCCCTTCTTAACTTATATACCTGGCACTGTTTTCTAGATGAGTTCTCAGTGGTAGAAGGAGAGAGGGTAAAGAGTAGGAAGCAGAGAGTTTAAAGGGAAAGCTTAAACCAAACACACACATCCTCAGACCCCCTCCCTCTGGGGCCTCTAAAGCACGCACAAACCCGAGACATGAGTGATGGTTAAAAAAATTTGGGTTTTATTGTTTTTGCTAAACAATACTAAAAAAAAAAATTTCATTTTGAAGGCAGGGCTTGAATTATTTAATTTTGATCCATTTATTTAATTAAAAAAAAAGGAAGGGGAAAGAGATCATGGCCAAAGCAATAGTAGTTAACCCCCACCCCACCCCCAAAGCTCTAGCCAGTCACATGAGCATCACCCACCTCCCACACCACGGTGCCTGATATTCAGATGGTGGCACACTCTACCCACTGGACCGCCTTGCAGGCACAGAGGCAATGGGTGCCAGTTTAACTCTCAGCAGGTCAGTCAAACCAGACAAACCGGTGGGCCAAAGTCAAGAAATTCTTCCCAGGTTTTCTGCCCATCGGCTGAGCACATACAAGCTGTCATAAGCTTGTAAAACTTAAGTGGGGGTAGGGAAGGGCATAAGAGCAGGAGGTTGGCAGAAGAGAAATGATAGGTCACCCAAGCTTTCTCCTGGGCTAGTGGCTCTGGATACAGACTTAAAGAGAGGTCGGAATAGGTAGACTCCAGGTTTCTCATGAAAGAAAACCATCCTCCGAGAAGGAGCTGAGATGTGCCGTGCAAAATAGTTCTTCCTGCAGAGGGCACAGGAGAAAGGGCAGTGGACGCTCCCATCTAGGAGACAGGAGAGTGGTGAGGAAGTTCTTCTAGTACCGTGAAGTAAGACAAAGGCAGAGGGAGAATCCTGAGGTTTTTGCCAAATGTGAGACTGGTACACATACAGTTAAAGACTAAAAAGCTACCAGGAACCCTCAAAGCCAGATCCCACCTGCATACACTGGCTCTACAAAGTGCTGCAGGAGATTCTTGCTGTGAACTAAGTCAAGTTAGTTGCCTGGCTGTGGGTGGTGGGGAGGACAATACACTTTTATTTTCAGAGGGGTGAGGTGGGAAGAGCGCAGCTTGTTACTTTTATTTTGGAAGAGAAGATGTGAAAGTTTCTTTCAATCACTCAGAAGGCAAGTGTAGCCACTTATAAAAACAGAATGGCAGAGACAGACTGGGAAAGGAAAGTCAGAGGTGAAAGGGCAGAGCAGGGAAGGAATTTTCAAAAATAAAATTAACAAGGTGACTGTTCCAGAAGGGGGCTGTGAAAAGGACATGGTGGACCGAAGTCTGTTAGTCAAGTAATGATTCAACTTTTAAATTATTCTCTTGTTCTTTTCTGTTGGGTGTTTTGTTTGTTCAAGTCTAAGATTTGGAAATGCTGACCCTCTGTTGACAAGAGCCAACAGGAAATATAGAATCCCTTCCCTCCCCCGGCCTGCCTCCGCTGAAGCCACCACCATCGCCTCCTTGGCTGGATGCTGGAAGAGTCCTCTGTATGTGTGGACTCAGGATGACAGGGCAGCCTCCTTCTGTGGTTGCTGGGCTTGTGAACGCTGCAGTATCTTTTGGCTTTCCACGTCTCTAAAATGTTTTTCAACCTGAAAGAGACCAGTCAGCCTAGATCAGAAAAAGAGATGGGCACACAAGGCCTCCCAAACAGTTCACTCTAGACGTAAACAGCCCGTCCTGGCTGTCTAGCTCGTGGATTATTCAGCACCTTTGCCCTTGCTGTCTGTTGGCCTTCCCAACAAGATAGCTGTGGGGGTCCTCTTGTTTCAGCCACATTTTTTTGCAGCTTCAGCTAAGACTGTCTAAAAGAAGGGGAATCTATAAAGTAGAGTATGAAGGGAGATTATTATGACCCAAACTCCCTCTCCCCTCCTTACACAAGTGCAGAATGAAAAGCTGGTGGGGAATTACAGTCTTAAAACTTTTTACATCCACAATGTTGGTCTCTCAACGCTCAGTCTGTTTTTACAAATGCTGCAACTCAATCTAGAAAGTCAGATGACACATGAAGGGTCACAGACTCCAACAGCCACTGATGTACACCAACCAACCCTTCTCGAGAAGAAGCCTGCCTGGGTTCAGACGCAATATCATGGAATGGTCTGGATAATTCCAAAAAGCCACACTGCAGAGGACACGGGGTTGACCACTTGCTTTATTCTGCACCGCCCAGTGGTTCCACACCCCCCAAATGTCCAAGCCATGGCTGCAGAGCACCATGGTGCAGGGAGGCAGGGTGATCAGGCAGGGCTGCTCGCAGGCTGGCTGTGTCAAAAGGGGCAGGGACTGTGGCGTAATGTCTTGCCCTGAGGCTGGAGGGGAGAAGGCTGAGGAGTCATCCTCTCCCTAAGGTTTCACGGCTCCTTTACTTACTATTTTGCGTACATGGCTCAGTGCACTCCCCTCTTTGCCTTTACAGTTTTCCACTTGATATGGGGGTGTAATAACAACTTCTTCCATGACTACGATGTTTTTTTCTTGCCATTTACAGTCTTTAATGCTGGAAGGAGAAGAGAGCAGGTGAAAGTTACCTCTTGCAGGGCATCCCACACCTCCTGCCTGATGAATAAATAACTCCAGAAAGCTAACCCCAAGTTCCTAGCTCACCACTCAGCCAATAACTGGTTGCCATCAGCCCACAGGGAGAAGCAGCCAAGAAACATTTCCTGGGCACCACTGGCTACAGGAAAAGCAATGAGACCAATGCACACTTATTCCAAGGATGGTCCAGAAGAGTTACTCTGAAGCATTAGGGACCTGAAAAACCACAGAAAACTTACTGGCAGCCTCAGAAGTCCAAACTAATTTGACTTACAAATAAACAGTTAGGCTCAGGCCACTAGATTCAATTTAAATAGCAGCCTAGGGCAGGGGTTGGCAAATTTTTTCTGTAAAGGGTCGGACAGCAAGTATTTCTGGCTTTGCAGGCCATACGATCTCTGTCACAACTACTCTGCTGCTGTACCTCAAAAGCAGTCACAGATGATACATAAACAAATGAGTAGATCTGGCCCACTGGCTGCAGTTTGCCAACCTTTGGCCTAGGGGGAAATGGTACCTTTAAAAAGACAGAACAAATTCCCCATCTTATTGCAATCTGTACTCTGCTCCCCACCACCCGAAATGATAGCTGCTCCTCAAACTGGCCCTTCTCAATTATCAGACAGCTGGGTAACTTGCCAGACTGGGAAAATCCATCCCAGTTCACACTTGGGGGAACCTAGGGCAGCTGCCACTGCTAAGAAAGTTCCTTCACATACCTGTAAATGCTTAGATACTCACACCATGGCCTCAAACAGCTCTGATGCCAGCTACCATCTGTGCAGCAGACTCAGGTGGTTAAATAGGGTAACAGAAGGCAGCAGGAGGAAGGGGGAGTGTCAAATGTTTCAGTTTTTCAGCAGCTAGGGAAGCTAGTGGAGAGTCAAATGACTTCTGCTGTGACAAAATGTCTTTTATGAGGTGGTAATAAGGTGGCCTTCTGCTCTCCCTAACTCCCTATGTTCACCCCAATATATAATTGGGAAGAGGGAAACAGATATAACTTTCCCTTAATAACACTGCATTAGCTTTTAGAGAAAGGTACAAGATCAAAATAATAAAAGAGAAAGAAATTACTAGTTCTAAGTTATGGAATACTAGGTCTGGAAGGGACCCTTAGGGATACTCTAATCCAAAACTAAGTTCTACAGATGAAGAAACTGAAGCCCAGGGCAGACAACTTGTTGGAGATTACACCATTCTACCATACAGAAAGGCAACAAGCACCGCACCCCTGGAGGCCGAGGTACTGCTAACACATTACCCAGCTTCCCTTGTGACATTCATAAACACAACTACCCCAAAATCAGCCACCAGACAGCACAGCCAGGCAGCGTCACCCCCGGGGCAAGGGACCCCTATGCTCCCCGCAACTCACGTCTTGTGTATGGTCTGGAAGAGCTGCTGGCCCTCTAGGGAGACACCAGCGCTGATTGCATAGGCCTGGCTCAGCTTCTCCTCCTTCTCTGTCCGTGCTTTGCTGGCAAGCTAGGGTGGGGGAAAGGAAAGAGACTCAGAAAAGCGTTCACCTTCATCCTCCCTTCAGGACCTAAGTTGAGGAAAAGATGCTGGAAAAGACTGATTTGGGTAGATTCAGTTTTCTCAGAGATCAAAAGTGAAACAAACAAAAACACACACAATATACCTCAACAGTTTCTGCTATTCCTGGCAAACATCCGTTCCTTCCAGTACTTACTGAATGCCTACCATGTGCCAGACATTCACTGTACTAAGCTAGAGATACAGCACAGAAGGGGGCAGGGGAGACCGACTATAAACAAAAACAAACAAGATAACTTCAGACAGGGCTAAGTGCTAGGAAGAAAATAGAGCAAGGCAAGGTTATAGAGTATGACTGGGGGGCAGGGGGGGCCCTACCTGATGGAAAGTGATGGTCAGAGATAAAAGGTAATGCATACATTTCTACGAAAGGAAAGAACTAAGAATTTTTATCAGCTACTGCGCTAGAGCCTCAGGTTTAGAAATAAATGTCTACCACACCTTCAAAGACCAGAATTTGAAGTTCTAAAGACTCAAGCATTCTAGTACCATTATCTGTACTCACATGGGGAGCCAGGACTCCAGGAAACCTAACCATGGATACTGTCCACCTTCGACTTGGGCTGTAGATACCATGCTCTTTAAAAAAAGGAATGGTCTGCATTCTACCACGTGTCTGTTCCTTAACTGCCCTCTAGTGGAACAACCATAAACTGATCAAGAATTGTAGTAAAATCTAGTAGGTCTACTCAAATCTAGTAAATCGCTCCCAGCAGGGGTGGGAATCCTGTCTATCCCTACTGCCCCTCTAATACATTTCTGGTCCCCACCCCGCACTATTGGTTGCTAGACTACAGAAGTACAAATTCGAGTGGAAGACAAAACAAATACACTGATGGTTTACACGAGAGGCAGATAATGCATCTGAAAGTCAAACAAATGACTTGGAGATTTTCAGATCCATGAACAAGAACATATACTTAGTATACTGATGCTGCAGCATACTAAAGACATATGCACAAACATACACATGAGAACACCCAACCTGTTCCCAAATACCAGCTCCTTAAATGCAAAGAGAGATCATACCTCCAGCACATTCCCAAAGTACCTAGATGCTTGGAATTCTTAAACATTCATATTCTGCTTTAACAGTGACCTTTCAAACCATAAGCCAAACATAGTTCTACAGGGGGAAAAATAAGCAAAGTGTCTAATTGTTGGTAAAATGAAGCACTTTCTTAAGTGTGGGTTTGACTATGAAGAAGAGAAAAGGAGGCCTTCAATCAGGTTAGGGTAACTGAGGAATCTCAACTGCCTCTGAGTTTCAAAGACTGTCTGAGGAAGGAGGGGGTATGAGTGCAGCTCATACATGCTGTCACTTCGGACTCCCTATATAGGTAAAAGGGGGAAGAAAGGCCAAAACTCTGCAGTGATTTAAAGCCAGAGCTCCCTTTTCACTTGGTCCCCAGGACATGGAGAGAGACAAATACAGCAGCAGTAAATAAATGATCTTTCAAGCCAGGTCCTGCCATTGTGGCCCCACCAGGCTCCAACTTTACAGAGAAGGAAATACACAGGGCTGACAGCATTCCCCTGAGCACTGGCAATCCCAACTGCAGCAAGGAAGCCTCGTGGCTTGAAAGCACTCACTTTCTATGGAACGAGAAGTGCTAGGGGTGTGTTTTAAGCAGCAACAAGCAAAGCTTACTTGGTCACCAAGAAAACCCTAGTAACAAGGAGTTTCCTTGAGTCTCACTTTCCAAACAATCCTGAAGAAGATCTGAAGTCTCCAAGGAAAGAAAGGAAAACTGGAGGGAAGCAGAGCTCCCTTGGATTAATAACCAAGCTCCTGCAGAGCTCCTGAGAAGTGGCTAGTGGTCAGGCAGATGTTTACCCCATGAGCAGGCAGAAGGGTCTCACTTTGAGGTCTTTTTAAAAATATTTATCCCTGAAGACCAAAAACATCTCCCAATGTTGGGTCAGACAAAGCTGCTTCTATAAAGCTTGTGTTGCCTAGATAGTAACAGCACCCATTCAGGAAGACAAGAGTTGGCTCAGGAAAAGCAGGCATCCATGCAGAATATTTAAGAATGGAACTGACAAATTAAGCTGGGGTTGGGGAGGGGCAAGAAGGCTGGAAGAACCACTTTTGAATTTTTGCCAGAGGCAGAGTAAAATGGATATAAATCTCAGCCACAAGTGATTTGTTTAGACAGCCTGAGTCAAATCAACACAATGGTTATAGAACAGTGATTTCAAAATACGCCCTAGCCACTCCCCCCTCCCCACCTCCGGCAAATACCTGTTGTACAATCTCTTCTAAAAGGTCTGAAAGCAAAGGAGAATGGACTAGATGACTCTCCATCTCAACCCATAGTGCAGACTGATCCCAAATGCTAAATGATACAAGGGAGAGCCTTGGAAAAGTCAGCAGAAATCAGTGTAAGCTGACTATTTCAATTTGCCCCAATATCCTCAACTACTCTACCTGTACCTGCAATTGTGCTTTGGGGACTTGGATTCACAGCAAACCCTGAAGCCTCCAGCTGCCAGTTTATGAACTGTATTTTCATGGCTATATGAAAATGCTTAAACCTAATATTCAGCTACAGAGATCTGCTTTCACTAAGAAGCTGTATAAATGGGGTAAATTTCTGCCACAGAACTGCATCAATTAGGCAGGAAGAAGATTACCTTCACAAAGAGAATCTAGAAATGTTTCTTCTCAAAATTGGGGTGAGAAGGGAAGGGAGATTACCCTGCTCTTTTCACACATGTTCCTGAAAACCCATAACAAATGTGGATAAGCCTCCTTTTGTAAAGCAAGTGACTATCACTCTACCCTCAAGTTAGCTGTAGTTCTACATTTCCCCACATCATATTTTTGTAAACTAATGCATATCTATAAATGGTCCAGTTACTCCAAGTTCATAAGTTTATGGTTACTGTCAAATCGCCAGACAGAACCAATAAAAGCCGTCCCCAATAGAGAAGGTGTAGGGTGTACCTTTTAGGCTTCGGAGGGTCATCAGGACTGCAGTTTTTAAATTCAGTAACTATCACCACACTACATTCATTTTCAATGCAAGCATGCTAACTGCTGGCCTCTCTTCCAATCAAAACTGAAGCACTAACTGGTTAGAATCATAGAGAATGTTAAAGGCACCAACTTTAAGAATACACTGGGTTCAGGCAAACTGAGAAGCACAAACCTACAAATACATGTTACTAATGTACATGTGACCTAATTGAAATAACTGCACAAGACAACCTGCATTTATCTACCTCTCCTTTTATTTTGCACAATTCCCAGTGAAAACATTCATTCCTTGTCTACTAACCAGTTCTTCCTCTCTTGGCCCTTTTATATATAGCATCTTGATGTGGGCAACAAAGAAAAGTGCATGAACGTGACTCCAAAGCACATCAATATTAAAAGGCTTCTAGTCATGCCCGCTGCTGGGTAACCCTCGAGTGAGTCAATCAGTGAATAGCGGCAACACATCTCTCCTCCTGCACTCAGTGACATGGAGAAGAGGAAGCAGCCACAACAACATAATCCAAGCATCTTGTTATAACCTCATCTTGTTACTTGGTAACCAGCTGGGCCATCTTGTTTCCACATACCCAGACCAGGACAGCACAGGTGCTGTGAGGAATCCAGAGGGATTCCTACTGCAAGTATTTAACAGGCTGTGACAGCTGATCCAACAAGGGAAGCAAAGTCCAGAGAGGAACCTGCTGGATGTGACCTACTGACTCCACTGAGCCACTCTTGGTTTGTCTTCCCTCTGTATTCGGGCCTTCCAACCAGCTCAACCAGCTGCCCTCACTGAGGGGTTAGGAAGCTCTGCAGCTGCTGCCCAGAACTGGCAGTGCTGCCTGCAAGGCCTGATGGAGGCTGAGGGACAGCAGACCAAATCAGCCAAGAACCACTGTCATCTTAAGGGCCCACGCTTGCTCCTGCTGTTTCAATTCTGGGGCGCACTCCTGGAAAGCCCTCATTCTTGGCTAGCAACAAGAAGGCTCAAAAATATTTCTTCTGGGGCTTCCCTGGTGGCGCAGTGGTTAAGAATTCGCCTGCCAATGCAGGGGACACGGGTTCGAGCCCTGGTCTGGGAAGATCCCACATGCCGCAGAGCCACTAAGCCCGTGCGTCACAACTACTGAGCCTGTGCTCTAGAGCCCGTGAGCCACAACTACTGAACCCGCATGCCTAGAGCCCATGCTCCGCAACAAGCGGAGCCACTGCATCGAGAAGCCCACGCACAGCAAAGAGGAGCGGCCCCCGCTCGCTGCAACTAGAGAAAGCCCGCGCACAGCAGCGAACACCCAACGCAACCAAAAATAAATGCATAATATAAATAAATTTTTTAAAAGTAACCTGAGATAGGTGAATAATATGAAAACCCCAAAATAACCCAAATATTCATCAATATGAGATTAATTAAATAAAGTTATTTAAAAATATATATATTTCTTCCAACTATCACTATCCCCAAGTCTTCCTGCTCCCTGGCTGAAAGCTCCTGTCTGAAAGTTTCTAATAAAATACTGTTCTTTACAACCTCAGATAGCTGGGAACTCAAATAGAGAACCCTGCTTGAAGTCATGTCCCAGAATACATAACAATGAACCAAAACACTGAATCAAACAGGGGAACAGTAGAGTCCAAGAGGCCTGGCAGTGAACACTAAAATCCTAAGAGCTAATTTGTTGAGTGAGAAATTACTCCACGCAATGCACGGAACCACACACTTTACCATGTATTAAATGTTTAATCTTCCCAACAATTCTGTGAAATAGGGACTAAAATTACTCCAACTTAACAGATGGACTTGCCCAAGTTTACCAAGTCACAAGTGGGAGAGTCTGGATTTGAACCCAGACAGTCTGACTCCAGAGCTTGCATTCTGAACCCTGCACTATACTCAAATAGTTCCACCTAAGAGAAATGTTGAAAATACACTTATAAATTTGAATGT